TTTAATTACTTCAAAAACATTCAATTAAAATACACTTGAATATACGAATTTAAGCGATTTCAAATGATTTAATCGATGTTTGTACTCTAAAAAACACAAAGGAATGAATTATGGTATAATCAATGCTCCAGTAATAAACGATTGCATGACATCTCTTTCCCCGAGTGCATAAGTAACAACTTCGATTGGGAAATTGAATTCTCTTGTTATATTTTCTGGTTCCATTTGTCTTGGGACGTGAAGTATCACATTTGTGCACTTTTCCACGCATTCACAGAAGAGATTCTTCAATCCAGGAAACAACGAATTGAGACTTTGTTTGTTTCTAAAAGCACCAGGCCCGCCCTTTTAATTACTTAAATGGAAATTATTCAAAGAACTAATAAAATAAGAAAGTAATACTATCTTTAAATAACAAACCCAAGGCGGCGATATGATAATCACATCATATTCCCGTGTATTCATCTCTTCGACAAACTCAAATGCATCTTCACAGACACAATTTATACTCTTCTCAACTTCATAGATCTCAGCATTGTGCTTAAGCATCTCAAGCTTCATTTTATCAATATCAACAGCAGTCACGGAAAAGTTCTGTGTGGCGTGTTGTATCGAGTCTCCCCCTACACAACAGAACAAATCTAACAATTTAATTCTTCTCTGTAAAAAATTGAGTGAAGTGTAGACTCGTATTGCTTCATTCCTCGCGATGTCTTCTGGTGTCACTGAATACCATGCCTCTCTATCCATTAGTATTCCTTCGTCATATTTACTAAATAAGGAATATCTTTGTTTATAATACCTTTCTTCTCCCATCATAGTAAATTGAATTAATAATTGTAGTTTTTTTAAATATTTATAACATATAACTTTTTTTTTATTATAATATAATTATTGTATTATTAATATAATTATATTATTATTATTATTATTATTATTATTATTATTATTATTATTATTATTATTATTATTATTATTATATTAAATATAATAAATATACCATTCAATTTACTTCTTAGCAACAATCAAGAAACATCTTGGCGATACACGTGAATCAAATACTCTTTCAGCATATGCCACTTTGCAATGCTCTTTCATATAGAGTACTCTGTCAGACACGATCAGTCCTTCTAGTAACGGAGCAAAGAGAGCGCCCAGTAATAAAATAGCCCCACTTTCGATAAGTATATCTCCGACAGCGCTCTCATTATACAACGCATTGAACTCTTCAGCTGACACAAAATGGTCACAAAATGCTTCAAATTGTTTAGCGTAGTTTTCTGCATTCCATTTAAATGTTTTTCTCTTTTTAATGTTAACGAGTGCACTTTCAAAATACGTTTTAAACGTTGTATTCACTGTTTTTCCCGTTGGGTGGTCTTCTTTTGCGCCGTTAAATTTCTCCATCACAAATTCGAAGAATGCTTTGAATGATTGTTGTTTCATCATATCCAGATATTGTCTTTGTGTGACAGTGAGGGGGTCTGCAAACGTCGAGAATTCGTTATGTGCCAATTTAAATTCTTTTCCTTCCTTCTCTATAATTTCACTAACAAATTTGCTCATTGGAAATCCGTTCAATTCTTCATCAAAATGGGGATGTTTGACACTCCTCAGAACATTTAAATTTTCCCCTTCAACGTATTTTGCTCGTTGTGTTGTGCTTTTCCAGAAGTCGTTGCGTTCTGTCAACTTGTGATAACAACACCCAACAGCAGCAACAACCTTCACCTCCGGAATCTTCACAGAAAGCCTCAAAAGTGTTGAGGTCAAGTTCCCGCATGCGTGGAGACACGTCATTAACAGTTCCTTCGAAGCAGTGACCGTTGAAATTTTGGTCATGAATTCCTGAGGCGTTATATCGGTCGTTAAATACGCAGAAATAGTTTTAGGATGTCCGATATGATTATCAAAAGGTTTTTGCGTTGATTTTGAAAACTTTTGTGGACTTTTTTGAAGGACTTTTTCTTCGCGTTGTTCCATTTTGTCTAAGAAGTCTTGTTCGCCTTCGACGCCAACAGCCTCAAGACCTAAATTTTCTAATTCGTGTAATAAATATCCCTTTCCTGAGCCAATGTCAATAACTGTTTTGGTCCAAATCTCAGTGATCTTTTGCGATAAAGCTTTGCACTCGTAACTCTTCTTCTCATTCATAAGAACTGAACGTCCCTTTTGAGCGACTAATGTGGTACCTTTTGGATAAAGTTGCTTACAAGTTGCGACTAAATCTCGTAAAGAAGGAGGAACTGGAATTGAGATGTCCTTTGGGATCGAAATGTCGGGAAGAATTAAGGAAAGACCATTGAGCCATACTAAAGAGGAACTCTCGGGATGAAGAAGTGAAACTTCCCGAAATTTATCAAAGAAATTTACACGCCACTCAACAGGAAGACTTTGATAAATATTATTCAATAAAACACGAGTAGGTGACTCGGTCCCTATTAATACTCCGTTGCTATATTTGTAATGAACAAAACACTCCGTGTGTGTTGAAAGAACATTTAAAAGACGAGTTGAGTATTCCTCGTATGACGAAATGGTCTCGGGAAGTATTTCGTTCGTCGAGTGACTCATTAGTCTGGTTTAATAATTTTTAATAGTTTTGTTAATAATATTTCACAAGTAATGAAATTAACGAATTGTTGTAATAGTAATTAGTTTTTTACTATTTTATAATATTTTTTTATTATAATGAAATTAAAAATATATTTGTTAATTATTTCTTCTAAAAACAATAATTAAAAAATGTTAATTATTAATAGTAAAATGTTATTAAATCTCACTCATTAATGTTGGAATGAAAGTGTTTTAATTGCTAAAATTAATATTAAATTACAGACATTATATTATTGTTGGTATTTAAGTTCTTTGGTTTGGAAATATAAATCATTCAAATTTAATATAATTAAATAGTAATAAAAACTATAAATATATAATTTTAATAAGATTTAATATAATAAGCAAATATTTGCTATTAAAAAAAAAGTTTTTAAATATTATTTAATAATAATAATTAATACTATAACACTCATAAATGAACAATATTTACAAATTAATTGTTTATTATAACATAAATTGCTCTCACAAACTCATATTACAATTATCGAGACTTTGAGGAATAACAATAAACGTATTGCCACGTGTTATCTTGTACTTGTTAATAAAGAAACTTAAAAATTACTTGTTGAAAATGAAGAGAATTACAGGAGAGTTATCCAAAATGCAAAAAAACACAGAAGGATGGTTTTCGGTTCAAACGAGTGAAGGCAACATCAAGTTGTGGAACATCACCGTCAATGGGCCAGAGAACTCCCCATTTGAAGGTGGAAAGTTTAAATTGAAAATCGTCCTTCCAGACGAATATCCACAGAAGCCACCTGTGCTCACTGTCGAAACTAAAGTCTATTCCCCTATTGTTAACCCAGATGATCACACAATCTGCGCTCCTATCTTACAAACAGATAATAAACCAGAAAACTGGGCACCAACTAAAACAATTTATGACGTCATCTTAACCTTCAGAACTATGCTCGGCGACTTGAAAACAGAACACGTCTCAGACCCAACTGTCGCTCAAGTCTTGTCTGAAAACCCAGAGAAGTTCAAAAAGACTGCTAAGGAATGGACTAAACTCTATGCCGTCTAAATGACCGTTTTGTCGTGTTCATTCAAACTGTTTTGTCTATCGTGTGACCCCTTTTTTTTAGTCTGAAATATTTTCTTATTCCACAAAAGTCAATTTCAAGTTGTCTTTTTTTTACTATTAATTTATAAAAAAAATATTATTTATTTTTAAAAAAAATATTATTTATTTTTAAAAAAAATAATCACTATAATTTATTATTATTGTTATTATTCATTAGCTTTTTTTTGATAACTTTCAAAAAAAATAGTAAAGTGACTTCCCCAAGGTGTGCAAGTTAAAATTTTTAGTCTTTTTTACAGGGAAAGGGCGTGCAAGACTAAATTTTAGTTGAAAAACATTTTATTAAAAAATGTTATTCATTTCAAAATTGTTTCAAAAAACACACAACCCTTTGGTGCTTGAATTAATAAACTACAAAAAGCAAATTAAATAATAAAAATTGGGTAATGGTTTGTCTATGTGTTTAATGTAAAAACTGTTTTGTTTCAAGAACGTGAATAAATGTCGATGTCTCTTGTGTTAGCGTAATTCAAAGCGGCAAGAAGAAGTATGATAAACATTATGTTTTTCTCTGTGCCATTTTATAGCAAACAATAACAAATAGTCTGTTTAATAGGTGCAGTTCATTGTTACAAATCGATGTGCACTGTTGTCCAGAACTGGTCCTTCGATAATTTCCATTGGGTCGCTTTCCCGAAATTGTTGCTTAATTAATTGTATTCGAAGTGTGAAAGTTAAAAATTGCAACGTCACAAGGTGTGCAAGTTAAAGTATAATTTAGTAATAACTTCGAAATTATAATTAATAATTAAACTAAAAATAATTTTTTTTTTCAAAATTTCAAAAAATTAATGATTCTATTTTTTTAATAAAAAAATTATAAATGAACTATACCTTAACTTGCACACCTTGGGAAGTCACTTTAGGGCATGACACTGGATTAGCGTTTTTTAGTGGATTGGTGTATAAAAGGGAAAAATAGACTGAAATATCGGGCACCAAAAAATTGAAAAAAAAATAAAATTTTGAAAAATAAGAGGTCGATTTTGCCAAAAAGACTCTTATCCAAATAATATCCATTCTCTTTCGCTGAGAAGATTAATGATAAACGTGTCTAGGTAATTATTGCCAAGACCGAAACATTTAAAAAAATTCGTAAAAAATAGTATTGTTTTCTCGTTTTTAAACACAAATCAGTTCTTTTTATTTTTCGGGGTAATTTTTTGTTTTGTTTTTTATAGTTTATAACGGTATCAGATAAATGATCTTGTTAATGATACATAGTAATGATGAGTCATTTACACTATGATCTACAAAATGTATTCCGATATTCCAAGTATAGTTTTAGTTGGTAGCTGAATTAAAAGTATAGTAAAACGAAAAATGGAGAACTTGAAATAAATTGGGTTATTTTTTTCAAAATTTTGGGAGATCGTCCTAAAAAGTTGCTGTGGATGGATCGATTTCGGTGGATACGTTATAACAGCCATATATGGGCTATTACTTCGGGATGTTTGGTTTATGGGATTTTTGACGTTTTCAACAAAATATAATTACAAATTCAGCAAATCATGTTCAATCGTACAGAATTTTTTTGTTAAAAATAAAGTTAATTTCTTTTTGTAAAACTTAACTTTTTGTTGTGTTTTTTATTAATATTAAAAAAAGATATTTAGTAAATGTTAGATTTGTCAAAATTTATCTATTTTAATTATATTTGATCTGCAAACAGAAATGTATTATTAATAAAGATTACCTTCATTCTCAACTTTGAACATGTTTATAAAATAGAGCGAACAAAAATCATTTTAAAATATTTATTTGTTTGTTTTTTATAACGGTCATATAATTATAGTCGGTGTTATTTCTCAGGTAATAATTTACAGATTTTACCAATATCTTTTTTATTTTTGTTGAAAACGTCAAAAATCCCATAAACCAAACATCCTGAAGTAATAGACTAAATATGGCTGTTATACCCCATCCACCGAAATCGATCCATCCACAGCAACTTTTTAGGACGATCTCCCAAAATTTTGAAAAAAATAACCCAATTTATTTCAAGTTCTCCATTTTTCGTTTTACTATACTTTTAATTCAGCTACCAACTAAAACTATACTTGGAATATCGGAATACATTTTGTAGATCAGTGTGTAAATGACTCGTCATTACAATGTATCATTAACAAGATTATTTATCTGATACCGTTATAAAAATCCATTTAAAAAAACAGTTTTGTTTTGATATTTTTGGTATATTATTTAACGAGTTGTTTTTTTAATAACGAGCAAATATTAACGAACAAATTTTATTGAAATCAATGTATTCATTCAAGTAAAAAATTAACGTTATTGTTTATAAAATAGCGTGTAAATTAAAAAAATTGTTAAATTAAAAAAATAATGTTTATAAAAGTATAATTATTAACATATCAAATGAAAAAAAAATGTTGTTGTTATGTGGCAGATTACACCATTTGGTGATAATATTTTTCTTATAAAAGAATTTTTATTATTTTAAAATAAATGCTTTTTTTTAATGACAAAATTGACTTTATTTTACTAAAAATTATTTGTATCCAGCAAAAAAGCATGTATCCACTGGATGGACGCTTATCCAGTGGATAGATGTCCATCCACTAGTATGCCCTTAGTTAAAAGAATTTCAATTTTTTTATAAAAAAAATATTAATATTTTAACTATAATATATTGAAAAATGTGTTTTTAAAAAAATGATAATATGAAAATAAAAAAAAATTATTTGTTTTAATTTAATTAATTCAAAACTTGTATTATTTAAAACTCGAAGCTATACAGGTCGGTAATATGTATCATTGTGGTTACATGATATTATATTTGTTTCAGTTGTTTTTATAATTATTTATAATTTCAAAATATTGTTGTTATTGATACTAATTCAAATGTTTAAAAAACAAATATACTCACTTTTCATATTTAAAAGACAAATTTAAATAAAACAAAAACATAATTTGTTATTGAAACAACATATTAAATTAACACATTTGAGTAATGCATGTGTTAATACACAAATATGATTTAAATTTATATAATAATAATAATAAATATTTATCACCTATAATTTTTTTGTGTATAAATTAATATACACTATTAAATGAATTGAGTGATATCGATTAACTTGTGATTTGTTTGAAATAAAAGTAAGAATTGAAAATAATAGTCAATAATTTAATAGTATGTCAAAAAAAGTGACACTTTTAAATAAAAAATACAAAACGAAAGAAGAACATTCAAATAAAATTTGTTTTTTAATAATATTCAATAAATTAATAATTATACTTAGTATATATTAACTATTTTAAAAAATCGTTTGACACTTCAAATTTGAAAATTTAGTGATAGTTGTATTATTTATTGTTTTTAACTGCCATCTTTTTTAAAAAAATAACAGTAAAAAAACAAATTTATTTATAATAATAATCGATATTTTATTTATTTCTCATTTTTTTTTGAAAAAACCATTAACAAAGTCAATAATGACCTTTTATTTTCTTTATAGTTAATATTTTAATTAATCGTTTTATTGTATAAATTATAAAAATAAAGTCTAAGTTGAAAAAATGAAGGCTCATTCTTTCCTAAATCAAGTTCATTTCCCAACAACAAAAACTGTGTTAAATTGAATCTTCGTTTTTGTTTAGTTTTCAATTAAGACTGAAGTTAACTTTTGTTTATGTACAATATAAAACTTATATTAAATGAATGAAGTTTAATACTTTTATTGACTAATTCTTGTAACAACTTTCACAAAATTGAAATTCCGTACCCAAAAAAAGTCAATTGAATTTTTATTGTTTTTTTAAGTCGTTTCCCAATTTAATACGCCATTTTTGCCTTTCTTTTGACCAGTTTGTTATTACTTGTTCAGTTTGTGAATTGATTAAATAATTGTTAATCAAAATGAAACAATTATCGTATTAAATATTATAATACAAATAATTATTCGTATAGTTTACTACAAACAGTTTTTCAAAAAGAAAAAGCGAAAAGGGGTGGAAATTATACCGGAGATTACTGTTTTTGAAGGCCTCTTAAAAAGCGTTTTGTTGGACTCTAACATCCTCCTTCATCGGGAAATGTCTTTTTGGAAAGTGAAATATTCAATTTCATATTTCTCCAGATTATATTTTTTTATCAATTTTAATACAATTTATATTTTTGTATATCAAATAATATATAATAATACAATATTATATTATTATAAATATTAAAATTGATAATTTTATTTTTAACTATAAATAATAGTGAAGACCATTTTTATTTAAAAAATGATTCCCAAAACACA